TGCACGGCCTGGCCCTCCAAACGCACACACAAGGGGGATAGAACTCTCCGATCTCACATGCAATAGAGGAGCCGAAAAGCACACACCCCACTTACGTGAGAGGTGAGAGTAATTTGGGATGTAGGAGAGGTGTATGCGTAGTGCATGTGTTAATGGGGAATCTGTGGTGATGTGGTTGTACCTGCCTTCATCTACCGCAGGATTTCACGAAGACGCATGTGACCTAATAGGCCCATGAAGTGGGTGAATGTCCGTGGACAGTATAAGCAGTTGAGGCGGGCGTAGTGCATGTATGTTGGTGCTTCTGTCACCGGTTCGTCAGTCTCTGTGCGATGGGTTCCCAAGTGACCGACCAGGCAGCTGCGTGATGTACATGCGCAATGGCAGTGAGGGCAGGATAGGTTTGGGGCTGTAAAATCCTTGCAATTTTTATACGCCGTGGGCTTGGTGCCTTCTATCACGCAGTCAAAGTTGTTGGTATAAAGTGCAACATGTGCCGAAACTTGAGAAGTGTTGAAACCACTGGGTTTCTTACCCCCTGGAGGAATACGCATAGAGCTGGCCACTGCTATAACCAAAAGAGTAAGTTTTCACAGCGCAAACTTCGAAATACACTGAAATAACTTCCACCGCCAGCGAGCATAGTTTCGCCATCAGAAACGCAGGCGAAGGACTTACAGAGGAGGCGAACCGTCAAAACGCATTATAATCGAATAAGAAAGACAAGGTGGGATCCCCAAGGCCAGTCAGCCGGACTTCTGACAAATTACAAACCAAAGAATTGAACTATCGCAACATCATCCTCGACGTCAAACTGAAGAGATAGGCAGCCCTGCATACTCCTTGGTCTATCAGATTGGATTGAACGGGCCCAGCCGATTTTACTAAGGCAGCTTTCGGAGGATCTGGAAAGGGAAGTGCAGGAAGCAGCTCACAGTCAACCAGATCGTGGAAGTCGCCTACATACTGCGAGTAAATATCAAATTTATAAAAGTTGCCTCGAAGGACAGAATGTCCGAAAAAATTGCTCAAGTGCATATTGCAAATAGTGGGACATCTGAACTTTCTTTCAAACCCATTATCCGATGATCCGTAAACAAAACACCGTGGCAGCTGGTTGAAATATGGGACGGCGGTCGTGTATAAATCAACAAGGGAGCTCAACTTCCCTCTAGTAATTACCTGATCCCACGTCTACTGACTAAAGGATGCATCCAACGATGTGTGTGGCGACGGTCACCAAAGCCGATGCATTAATTCGCCATGCAAACAGTTTGTTTGTTGTCTTTTGTCTGTCTCTGAGACGAGACTTCGGACTCATTGCGATAGTTCAGACTAACAAACACCTCCTTCCGGTACTCGGTTTTTCTTACTCATAATCAGCTGAAGACATCTCAC